TTTTAAAGATAAAAATATTCCGAACACTTCTCCAGAAGGCCACGAACCCATCCGAGGTCATCTTGGGCTCCAAAAACGCAATATAAGCCCAAAACGTCACTATTCCAGCACTGCACATCGCTCCTTCATTTATTCACCAGGAAATCATCGCTTAGTGTAAAAGTCTGATATTTTGATACGATCAAGCTAAGTGACTCACGTACGTCCTCCAACTGGAATTACTCCAAAATTCGTCCATTTGATTATGTTTTGCTCCAGAGAGAGTCGAAAGTCCTATATTGGAAATATAATTCAAAGTATCAAAATTCTTCCAAAATATTAACCAAAATATACTAAGAATAGGGTTAAATATATAATATAAAATCGACTCATCACCTAATATAAGCAGCAACTCCTACCCAGTTATCATGGTTAGGGTGGCCATCCTCCTGATTACAACATAGACAAACTAACATAGCTTTGGGGCCAAGTTCTGCCCCCTTTGGGACGTAATTGATGTATGGGCAAAGGTTGCGCGGGTGATCCTTCAAACAAACCAGACAGTGAACAGGATCCCCACGGTCTGCACAAGCAAGCATTTGGGTCAAGCTCAAGCATGGTAATAATTATGACACCGTAACCATGTTCGGATGTTCCAGTTCCTGACATACTTCTAAAAGACCCAAAAATCCCACAACGTCAAAAAGACACAGTATGTGATGAAAAATTCGAATACCATCATAATTATCCACCTAAATTGACGACAACACCTGTGTACAGAATACAGATATTTCCCAAACATCTCGCACTATAACTTTAAACAGTTCATATATTTAAAACATCATTACAAGCAGCAGTGAGCAATTAGAAACATAATTACAAATAGCAGTAAGCAATTCAAAGCCTGAGGACAACTCACCTCACACCAATCCAAGCAGTCAATGCTCTTGACTTCCAAATGTTTATTGTGTGAGCTGATTTACTCACGAGAATATTCGGTTGCAAAGATTCATCTTCCTTCTTCGCCTCCTCTTTCTCCCTGCACAATAGAACAAATAAGAGGGCCACACCCGGGGGGTGTTGGACAAAAGCCCTCCGATGCCTAAATTAGTTCAAGAGTTTGTAAGAGAAACACTAGCTAATTAGGGTATGGAGATGTGTTTAAGGTGTAAACCGGTCGGCCGGAGCCTTATGTAAAAAAGAGAGATAGAGAGGAGGTGGCTAGGGTTTGAGAGGAATTTTCTGCAGAATTTTAGTAGAGATTTTAGACGTACCTCAACTCTTGTGCGTGACCATCCTTTTATAGTGGTCTCGAAGGGTTAGGGTTTGGAGAAAAATAATCCTTGTTGGGAAAGGAATTATTTTTCTGATTTTAGGAGATTTAAATCAATTAGGGATTTAATGCGAATCAAATCCCTAACCAAGGCAAGAATCCCTAAATCAAATATTCCCCAAATGGAAGGAAATATTTGATCTAGGGTTTGCTTAAAATTAGGTTCTCACAAATGCCCCCCAGCTTCTGCATGGCGCGTGATGGTATG